ACTGTAGATTACTGGGGATTGTGATGATATTCATACATTCATTTTCTTTTTGGCTTAGTCCCTTTATTAATCTGGGAGCGCCACAGCGGAATGAACCACCAACTTATCCAGCATATGTTTTACTTAGTGGATGCCCTTTCAACTGGAACCCATCACTGGGAAACACCCAATCTTATTCACACACATACACTGTGGACAATTTGGATTACCCAATTCCCCTATAGTGCATGTCTTAGGACTTGTGGGGCAAACCGGAGTGCTCGGAGGAAACCAACACCAACATGGGGAGAACATGCAAACTCCACACAGAAATGCCAACTGACCTGGGAAACATCCACACACTCATTCACACTCATACACTACGGACAGTTTAGCCTACCTCATTCACCTGTACCACATATCTTTGGACTTGTAGGGGAAACCGGAGCACTCGGAGAAAACCCACATTAATGCGGGGAGAACATGCAAACTCCACACAGAAACGCCAACTGACCCAGCCGAACCTAGAACCAACCATCTTGCTGTGAGGCGACAGCACTACCTACTGCGCCACCGCGTCGCCCTATTAGTACCAGTGATATTTAATACTTACTAATTAAGACAATTTGCAATCACTCACATACAGACGGAGCTCCGAATACTCAGAAATCCTTCAAAATATTTATGTTCCTCCATTCCATCAGAGCACCTGCTACTTCAACACATGATTGCAAGAAATCCTTTAATTATGACAAAACCCCAATGGCTTCAGCATACTTGCAGCACGATCCATAAAGCTCTAATAAGTCGCAGTCACACTGTGATGGGGAGCTTTTCTGTACAAATTGAATTTGGAGCTGATAATGAAACTATCAATGAAAACAAACGAAGCATTTTGGGTGTCTGTTGTGCTCAGGCACTGTAACGTTAAGACCATCCATCAGGAGAGCACTGATGCTTTTATTGCAGGATTGGTGGAGATTGAAGAGAACGTGATGAGGTCTGCAACGATCCCCCATGCAGACTGAAATAAATGTCAACGGTTTTGTCATCTATTTATATTTTTTTGGAAACATTACATTGCGCTTTCTGTATCGATTCCGCATAGAATCAAGCAGGACTATATTATATTGCAAGGAGAAATTAAATGTGCTACCAAAGATTATGAATCCAAACGAGGTCTGCACGATATCGCAGTGTGTGCATCTGCAATAGTCACATCATAAGATATGCAGTGTTGAGTTAGGATTAAAGATGAACAGGAACCACAAGTAAAAACACATAAGATTTGTGGAGTCACTGGAGAATTGTCAGCATTTTAAAGCATTTCATTAGTGCACAAAGAAGTTTAATAAAGATTCATTTTGCTATTTTCTAATGTGATTTTACATTTTTGATTGTTGCATTTCTGTCCTCAAATACCGTTAAACTCTCCACAGAAAACCATAGAGTTTGTCTTTATTTCACTGTAATATTTGCACCGTTGCTTTTGTTTTCTTATATGTACAGTGCTCGGCATATATGAGTACACCCCTTACAAATCTCTCATTTAAATGAATATTTTCTATAGGAAGCTTTACAATATTATATTTGTGCATATACATTAGATTAGTCAGTCCTGAAGACAAATGATAATCATAACGGTTAATGATAATCCAAAATCAGTACCCCAAATTTATATGTTAGGGAAAAATATTAAATACAAATTTTAAAAAGAGCTAAATAATATATATATATATATATATATATATATATATATATATATATATATATATATATATATATATATATATATATATATATATATATATATATATATATATATA